TATTAATAATAGATCGCATATATCGCGGTCTCTCGATGAGAATCGCGGTCAAATTACATTCGAATTGGCGAAGAGCTCAGAATGCGTGATGTGGGATAATACATTCGAATCTGAGCGTAAAGCAGAGATGTAAACACTATTTATAAATTTTATCGTCAATTGCTACGTAAACATTTGAATAGAGTTCCAAAATATTCATTTTTATATCACAAATTGTGATTTTTTTTTCAAATTTAAAAGGTAGTCTTTTTCTATTTCTTAAAAATCATATTTTAATTTTTATGTAAATTAAATATTACTTTCAACGATAACATGTATATAAAGATGCATTTATGTAAATATGTTTCTATATATTTTTTAATTCTTTTTTAATTCATTTCAAACAGATTTCGTTAATTAATGAGAGCTATGGTCCTGTCTTTGAAGTCTCTTTTTTCAAAAATATTAATAGCAAAATGTTATATATGTATGAACTTTCAAATATTTCTGAAATACTTAACTATAATTTTGTATTAATCCAAAAATATATTTTAATTTAAGGAACTCTTAGATGTAAAAAAACATAAATTTCATTATATTTTTCTATTTTTATGTTAATATAATTTAAAATCAAATATTTTATAAATTATACATTTAGATAATGCTTTTTCAATGTAATAATCTAAATAATTTTATCTTTCCATATTTGACCTTAAAAAAATTTCGTTTGCGGTCCTCCTTAATAAATTTCTAGATTCACCAATGATAAAAAGTTGTTGATATAATTCGTTAATAGGAAAAGTTGACTGATTGCGCGAGATAGTAATCACTAACTGGTCAGCAATGATACATCTCTTCATTATACCTACCTCGAGTTTGTCTCAAAGGATAATAACGTTACGGTATACGGAATCGTGTCCGTTGCCCGCCCACTCGAGTTTCGTAGTACGAATGACAACACGGCAACTTTGTGTAAATATAACGCCGAATGTTACGAAAACAAGCACCGAACATCGCGCACAGCCAAATTCAATAAAATATGTAACGATATCCAATACAGTCAAATATTTAACGGTGGCACTGTTCGCTCATTTAACGAATTCTATTTATTTGTGTTTGTTCGCGCTCATTTGATTCACCGACGTGAAGTTCACTTAAGATGATATATAATTCATGTCAAAATTTAAGGTAGAATTTCATTTATAATTTTGTTGTTCTTTTAAATGCATAAAACATTTGAAAAATTACAAGATATATAACCATAATCAAATTCAATAAATAAGAAATATTATGACATTTTAAATTTATTTGCTTGAAAAGAATAGAATTTAGCTTTATTTTTGGAAAAGCATTTATTACATGTTTATTATTATTATTTTTTTACATTTTGAATTATAAAATAGTAAAGTTTTAATAAAGCAAAAATTTTGTGATCTTAATAAATTAAAGAATAAAATTGTGAATAATTGTTTTTATTTAAAAATCATGCTATTGTATTCCATTTTGTTAAAAAAATTAATCAAAGTAAAGAAAAATTAATTTCTTATATTATATAATACAAATTAGATTATGCAAAATAAAGATAACTTTTATTTTAAATATAAATTTAAGTAGTATATACAATTGGGATATTTGTATGCTACTCGTTTTTTTCTTTAGAATACTAAAAGCACTTGGTTAAATAATTGTCTGTACACTTTTTTTTAAAATATATAATTTTATAAATACTTTTTAAAGATGTTAAAATATATGTAAGAATTACTTAATAATTTTTGTATATTTGTAAAAGAGATGAAAATTCCCAAAACATGAAGTATCGTACAGTAAAAAATCGAAAAACCATCGTGTGTACTAAATTAATAATTTTTCTCAAGTAAAGTAATTAATTGATCGAAATTTTAATTAAATATTATATAATTTACATATAATATAAAATTGACTATTGGTGTTACTTATTCTTAACAATTTGTCATAATCATCATGCATATAAGAAATGCCAAATTTAATTAAATAACAAAAATTACTATCTGAGCGGTCATAAAATCAATAATAAATAATAGATCTACATATCTGTACAGTTATATTATGTGTGAACACATTTTATGTGATGATAACTATCAGTCAACTTTACCAAGACTTTTTCAAGACTTATAATAACATAAAAATTTGTATTAAGATTTTCGATTGTAACTATATAATCTCTAGAATAACTGTTAGATTATTTGACGGTGATATACGACAGTATCCATGTACCTTTTAATATTCGCAACGTGAAGCGTACAACATATTTTTGCAATATTCCGTGTACGTGACGCAATTTAATGTAACTGATCGGCGTGAACTGTTTTTCCGCAAGTACGACCGCGCTACCAGCGTAAGCTTCATGCGCGTGCAATTTCAGTGACACTCGTATACGGCGCGTGTATATTTGCGAAGTGAGGCAGAGCGCAGCCCCGTTCGGTCCCGCGCCGGGCGAATTACCATATTCCGTGTTGCCCGCCCATGCACTACATGTTCCCGTGGGCTTGGCCCAGATTCCGTTACCTCTCTGCTTAATAAACAGAGCCTTTACTGTCGCGCGCGTGCAACGCAGTCTCCGCACTTGAATCCAGTTATCTTTTATTGCGGATTCCACTCTCCTCGCGCGACCATCCACCGTGTCCCAAGTCACGATGGTGGTCTCCACGTAGTCGCTCAACGTCCGAGTCTATTTTTACTTGCTTTTACTTGCTTGTTGGCAAAATCAGATTTTTATTCCGCGTTCCTTGCGCGCGCCATGTCGTGTCGCTCGTTAGAGCTGACGTTTTCGCGACAACGTTGCATTAGCATGGATATTATTCACCCGAAAGTCGATGGGTTTTGCACGGGATGGTGTTGTACGCGCGGAGTTAAAAAGACAGGATAACACGAGCGTACCGTGCCGTCGCGCATTTGCTTTCTAAGCGTACGTTGTGTTATCAAGTTTCGCGGATAAGGACGGTGGAACTTTGTTACAAACACTCGCGCGGGATCGATCCGCGCGAGTTGCCGTGCGAATTAATAGATCCACGGTATTTGTACTGAGAACTAGCGTCACCGGCGAGTCCATTCACGTAAGAGGAGTTAGTTTTCTGAATAGAATTAGCATAATCTGCTCCTTTCGCTAAACACTCCACCTACCGAGAATCACCTACCGAGTCGTATTTGGTGTCTTAACGAGTTAAAACCGATATTCATTTTATATGTTTTGAAATACATATCAAAGTAAATAAAATTTGCTTAAGCTAATCAAAGGGCATGGCAAATACGTGTTGTTACTTTGTCTCTTATTACACATTTATTGTGAGAATTTATTAAAACGCACGTTTTTCATGTAATGTTCCAAAGAATGGATGCATCAAGTTAGTGTCTCTGAGGTAACAAATCGTCGAATAGTATTCGAGTGATGGTAAACGACTAAAATGACTTTGAGAAAGGAAGGGCTCGAGTGGAATGAATAAAGTTTCGTAAAAAGTGAAGGGTCCAGTTGTAAGAGAGATGGAGCACGAAGAGGGAAGATTTTAAATCGGGTGAACCAATGTTGTTGATGATGCACATCCCACGCCAACATCCCCTGTGACACAGAGAAAGAGCGGACCGGAGATAAAGCAAAGAACATTTTATTCACATGCAATCGGGTGAATCATTGATCGCTGAGCCGACTGCATAGGAGACTAGGAAAATCCTCGAAAAAATGATACTTTTATGTACTTATGAAATATTCGGAAAAAAACTATCGACTTTTTAAATTGTTGACAAATTTAACTCCGTAAAATTACGCGAAGAATTAAAATTTACTTATTTATATTTAAGTACGACGGAGAGAAAAAAATATTACTCGTTTTATATATCAAGATACAATTATATCATAGAAGCTAAATAATGAAGCAACAAGAGAGGAGCACATACGCGGAGGAAGAAAAATGTAACCACGAAAGAGGAGGGCTTTGCTGTGTAAGAGAGCCGTCACTAAAAAATGTTACGAAGAACAGGCTGGAGCAACACCTGCAAGCCATGAAATATTACGACTATTTATTCGGTTCTTTTTAAGAGAATATATATCCTCAACCAATGAATATATCCAAGGTCTTGCCAAGACTTTTCCCAGGTCCTTCCGCAATATCAATTTACTTCTTCATGATTTTGAATTGTATCGTTTCTCCTTCTTGCATCGTTGCAGCGAGTGGCTGTACCGATGCAGCAAACGCTGAAGGACTAAAAACACATATTGTTTCTTTTATGCGGAGATTATCTTCTTTTTTAGAATGAAAACTAAACAAGAAACTTTCTCTTTCTTGATAGAATCTGATAGTTCCTACCATTTATTGACAATTTGTAAAGCCCTTAGGACTCCATTGTCCATGGACTCTCTTCGTACAGATAAGAACTTGTGGAACTACCGCCACTATCGGAGAAGCCATGGATATCTAGTACAAACCAATATTAGAAGTTTGCAAGATATATTATAAACCAGTACTCATGTATTATATCTAACACCATTATTTATTGATAAAACTAAAACCTGCTCTTCAAATAATCTATGATGCATAAAGTTAAAATAGAATTCTTTATTTATTATAGATTAAATATTATTAATTTATTATAAATTAATATAAATATGGTATAAAAAAGAATTAACAAAATATTTTCAATCTCATTTGATTTTTTATTA